TTATGCACAATTAATCATCCTCAAATCGATGGAGAAGGATATCGCGCTTGCGAGGAGGCCAGTAGAGGGATTCGAGTTCGCGGCGTGGAAAATTTTTAAACCTTCGATTTATCAACCTTCGGCATGAGTGGAAACCATCGCTTCAAGCCGACTCACCACCGCAACTTTTACAGCTCTAGCGGCTTCATTGCCGGCTTGTTGCTGCTCTGTGGCGATATTATTAGCCAGCCTGGACCTACAACCACCAAGAGAAGGCAGTGTAGTGTCCCGTTAAAAGGCCTCGTGATTAATGCCAGAAGCATGAAATCGTAAAATAAAGTTGGGACCTTCGTGAGAGTTAGCAATTTAGATCGGGCTCAAGACCTAGTCTGTTCAGAACATGTTGACATTGTATTAATCAGTGAAACCTGGCTGAATGGTAACATCCTCGACCAAGAACTTTTCCCGCTTCTCTCTTTATCGTCTACAGGAAAGACCGTAAGGATGGTAATTGTGGTGGCTTCCTTATTGCTGTCAAAGGTAACTCTTTCAAGTCGATGCAGGAATATGTGCCGGATTCAGAAAATTTGGAGGACCTAGAACTTGTGTGCGCTGAGATGACCACTTTCTGCAATAAGAAAGTTTTGTTTTGCTCGATTTACTAGCCAGATCCCGACGACGATACAGACTGCTGGTTTGAAAAGTTTAATATTTTTCTTGACCATGCTTCTGAAACTCATGAAAATATGGTAATAGGAGATATTGGGACTCGCTAGAAAACACCAGAGGCACAAAAGAGGTGGCGCTCTTAGAAATCCTCAATTATCATTTTTTAACACAATTAAACTTTCTTCCCACCCGTCGTGAGGGAGAGTGGGTGTCAAGCAATCTTACCTCGGACAAACAAGTATCCGAACAGTGTGCAAAAGCCAACAAATTCCTTGAGTTTGTGCGCCGAGTTTCTAGGTACATCCAAAGCACCCAAACGCGTCGTACACTTTACCTTTCTATCGTCCGGTGCCATCTCGGCTACGCAATCCAAGTATGGTTGCCACAGTCCACTGGCCTACGAAAGCGAGTTGAAAACGCGCAGCGCCGTGCAACAAAACTAATTTTGAAGCTCCCCATCCGTTGCGATGTCACCTATAAGACCCCCCTCCAACTAACAAATCTGTTGCCCATCTCATACTGGCATGAATTTTGGTCTTTTTCTACAAAGCTGTTAATAACTCAGTTTTCATAGATAGTGAAGCTTTACCTGTAAGCAGGCAATTTACGAGATCTACATATCGACGTTCATTTTTCATACGCGTGTGCCGCACATGGAATGTTCTTCCCGTCGAGCTACGCTCAAATCACAGCTCTCTAAAAAGTTTGTTACTTCAATATTACAAAAAGACTCTGAACTCGTACGACGTTGACGACATTAGAACATGGAGAACAATTTGTCCTAGGTGCAACACAGCGAGGTCTCTCCTATGCCCGCCAACGTGCTACTTCTAGCAATTTAGACTTCCGTTTTGTTTCCTCCTACGTTTTCTGCCTAAATATTAGTAGGTTTAGTTATTACTTATTCTTTACATAAATAATTAACGAGGGATCCGCTGCAATTGGCTAGGCTGTAGTGGTCTCCTTGCCTAATAATTTTGTGTGTTCTTTTTTTACAAATTGTATTTTAGTTAGGCGAAGCTAAATAAATAAATGATAGGACTTAACTAACTGCCAAGTTCACCTGGTCCACTTACATAGTTTCTCTTACCGCACGCCTTCTTTATGCTCCGTTCAAGAATTAAAAAAGCGCGTGCGAATTTTAATTTATGACATACGCAAAGGAATCGAAAACGAGATAACTCTCTTTTGCTTCAATTCAGTCATGAAAGCTTAGAACTTCCGTTACAACTTAATTAGAAAAGAAGTTATATTCCAAATTTTATTGCGAATTTCAAACACAGGAACGTAACAAGAGGCATCTTTGTTTTTTATTTCTTCTCTAATCAGTCCTGTGCGGCGTTCACGGGAACTTGTACGTTTAT